GGGCCATCTGTGTATTCCATCCTTAGAGACATCAGCACTAGCAGGCCAACAGAGTCTTAGAGGGCAGATGTTATGACTTCATTTGACAGGTAAGGAAATGGAGGCTTAAGGAAAGAATGGTTGGCCTGACGACACATAGCTGTTGCAGACCTGAGCCAGTAATTAAAGCTGGGACGCTAACTTGTGCACTTTCTATGCTGTAAGCTTATGTGGTTTTCTTCATGGGGAGGAATTTCATGGACCCTGTCCCAAAGGTTTCCCCTCCGAGAATGGGACTGTTTTTTCTGGTGAGGTTCAGGCTGACTCATGGTCGAGTGGGGCCAATAAAGTATTTCCTGGGAATGAAATATCTTTCTGTTCTCCCTGGACCAGCTTATTGGGGACCCCTGCTCACCTCTGACTCCTCAGTTGATTAGAGAATTGGGGATAAAGTGCTTCCAAAATTTACCTGAATTCTGTATTCACTGAGTAAACATGGAGGCTTCTCTTACCAGCTCATAGGGGTCATACCTCTAGTGCCTAGATGAAGGAAGGGGGTCTTAGATGAACACCAAATTGCCAGACATGGGGACATGTGTGTCCTCTTCATTTTGACAAACCCATGAGGAAGCTAAAAAATGAGAAGTCAAATTTCAAACTTTTCCTGGCACTGAGCCCTTGCTGGATTTTGCAGATTTGTTGCTCCCAAAGAGCACTGTGTTGGTGGTCAAATAAAGCGCACTCCAGAATGAAATCAAACGCTGTGTGATTGGGAGGAACAAGTCCAAAGGCCAACGGGGCTCCCTTACTTCATTATCTGATTCTTCTTGTCAACCACTGCACGTTACGAACAGGGCTGGGGCTTGGCTCCACTGGCCACACTCCCGGGCCTAGGAGAGCTGAGGTATGTCTGGAAAAGAGGGGGCCTTTGCCAAGGCAAGCATCTCCCATGCCAGGCAGACCAGCAAATGAGCTGCTTCTTGCAGTCCCTTCATCCGAATCCTCGACCAGCCAAGGCCCATTCATTTAATAAGTGCAAACTCAGGAGCTACTAAGTGTCAGGCTCAGTGCCAGGCACTGAGGGTACAGAGGTGAATGTGCCTAAATCAAGCATGCTTTTCATCACATGTTCGAGAAAATGTTCATTGATGTTTTCCTGATCCTAAGAGTAATGTGTGTCAGTTAAAAAGAAATTAATTTCATTTAAATTGAATCACTCCATCTCCAGGGAGAAGCCCTGATAGTATTGTATGGTATTAGAGATCCTTGTTGGCCAAGGAAAGCGGGACTGAGAAAAAGGCCAGTTATGTGAATCTTCTTAGAATAAGATCCAAAATTTCATAGTAAAAAATTTTTTTTAAGATTTGATTGGGACATTTACTTGAAATATGGAAATAAGTTTATATTATCTTACATTTAACAGCTCTTGTAACATTGGAATTATAATGTCAAAGATCTCTTAGACCCAAGACAAAAGCTTATTTGCTTTATTAGCATCTTTTTTTTTTTAAAGATTTTATTTATTTATTTGTCAGAGAGAGAGAGAAAGAGAGAGAGCACAAGTAGGCAGAGCTGCAGGCAGAGGGAGAGGGAGAAGCAGGCTCCCTGTCGAGCAGGGAGCCAGACATGGGGCTCAATACAGGACCCTGGGCTCATGACCCAAGCCAAAGGCAGAGGCTTAACGAACTAAGCCATTCAGGTGCTCGCAAAAGGTCATTTTTACAAAGGCATATTTTTTCCAAAGGCTTCTCTTGATCTTTTTTATTTAAATCCTTATCTTTGGAAGCATCTTAAAGTGTTATCATGCAGGGATATTTATCAGATAAGTGATCTAACTCAGCCAGATCCAGATTTATCAGTGGCTTTGTGTGGCTTGAGCAGTTTTCCATCATCACTTTCATTGATTTCATGGAAGTCTGCTTCTTTTGCAGCAAGGTCTTAGTTTCCCTCTGCAGTAGATTGTACTGTATTTGAATTGGGTAATCAGAAGTCTGTTCACTGGTCCGTGTTCCCAGTCAGCTGAGAGCCGATCATCGTAAGTCTTGCAACAATGATAAAGTTGCATTCTCTAACCTAAACTCAGGATAGGCAATGATTGGGACATGGGAAAAGGCAGAGCCAAGGAGACACCTGATGTCTGGAACCTCTCCCACATACTTCCTGGTGGGCACCAAGTGTCTGGCAGAAGTAATAGGCAACCCCCAAGAGATCACTATTTTGAAGCCTCACTGGGTCTCTCTGTGCCTTCAAGGTTGCCTGCCTGGCTGCCAAGGGTGTGAATGGCTCCATAATGAGCCTGTTTTTTAGTTATGCCCTGGGCTTGGTGTGAAACCGGAACGAAGAGGATGTTGATGCTGCTTTGGGGTAAATTGCTCCCCTGATGGGCCTGGCTATCCAGATTTCATAAACTACAGTTAGATAAGCTTTCTCTTGGTTAGTGTGAATTTAAAAAAGATTTATTAGCATGTGATGTTCCCCTTCCACTGTCGTTCCTCACCTGGGAGCAAACGCCCTGTCCTTTCCAGTAGCGCTCAGTGCCGGGAGCCTCAGCTATAAAGAGTGTTGTAGGAGGTCAGGTTCACCAGAAGCAGAACCTGAGATGGGGATTTCTGTGCAAGCAGCTTACTAGGGAAATGCTCTGGAAAGAAGAGGAGTGAAGGGAGCAGAAGGGGGCAGAGGAAGGAACCCAACAGATGTGCTGTCAGCTGGAGGCTGCCTCAGCCTAATCCCACAGGGGCTCTGGAACCTAAACCTCACTACAGAGCCAGTCTTACCTGGAGGCAGAGGGATGTCAATCCAAGAATGTCAAACCTCAGAATGCTTCTGAGGATGGGTGTTGTAACCCTCCCCCTCCCACCCCAGGCAAAGCGGCTCCCATTCAGCTGGGGGCTTTTAAACCCATGTGGTAAAGGGGTTCTAGGACCAGCACCCACACCATCCACACAGGGAACCGTAGTGTTTGCTTACCTCACAACTATAGTAGGAGAGTGGAGCACAGGAATAAATAACCCCAGGAGGACTGTATCAGTGCTGACAGGCGGCAGAAGGGTGATGCCCGACATCCTTTCCTGTAGCACCACCAGGAGTGTGTGAGTCATGAATCGTCCACTGAGCACTCTCTATCCTAGAGAGGTCTGTGGTTTTTGCTCTCTCTGCCTAGCCCCACCAAGGTCCAACCAGAATTCTGCAATCTCTAGTAGACTATTTAGGGTGGCAGAGAGACTCGGAATAATGCAATAAATGCTGGCTTGTGCATTATTTTCTAGCATTTTGGAATTAACAGAAAGAAGTAATTTCAGCAGCTCTTGAATAATCAAAAGCAGTCTGAAGCCAAAGCCAAGTAACCTGAGGTCCTCTCAAGTTCCAGAGCAAATTTTTGAAGTCACAGTCATTCCTTCACACCCACGCAAAAACTAAAAAAGTCTTCAGAGCAATGAATCTTTACTTCAAGAACGGATAGACCTTTGACTTGAATGGAAAACCTCTCTCCTGGTTTGAAAGGGATTTCCAGTGAGGTATGGAACTTCACAAAGGGAGTTTAGAACTAAGTTGAGAACTCATGTAATTTATATATATGCTGGGACGCTCTTGAGAGTAATTGTATCCCATGACGGATGTGAAACTGAGAGCCAACGTCACCTAGGCTTGGGCTCGCTGCCCCTGATGCCCACAAGCTGATTAGCTAGGATTTAGAGGAGCTTCTCCTTGGGCCAGTTGTGGACATTGCTTCTGCAGGGAGGAACAAAAGGAAGGAGATGGGAACAAAGCCCCCACAATGAATCATTAGGACCAGTCTTTGGGACATGCAGGTCCTGAGACAGCATTTGAGAAGTTATCCTCTGGTTTCCTTATTGAAGTTGATGATGCATATCCTCTAGGTTCCAAGAGCAGCCCCTCACACTTCCATGTAAATGTCTGTTTATCTGCTGGGAGGTCTCTTCTTTCTAAGCTATGAGCTCTTCAAGGATGGGGACTAACATCTTTCAAACCTGTGCCCTTCACGCTGATCGGAGTAGGTGATATGCTGACTCAGTTACCCCATAGAAGCTCAGAGTCCATTCTGAATCCTGTGCCGCTTCCACACTATGTGTGTGAACTTGGCACCCAGGAGGATTTGGGGCCAAGATGCATGAAGTAAGCCTTGGAAGGAGGACTGAGGAAAAATATTCCTGATAGTGGGAACAACTTTAGAGTCCACCAAGAATGACCTTGGGGAAGATACATGACCTCATTGAACTTTGATGTCCTGGCTTCTAGATACTCAGCAAGTGCTAGTTCTGTGGCTTCTCCTTCTCCAAAATCTGCAACATGGAAGTCTTGATTTGGCTTCAGTAACTTGGAACCTGTGGGTTATGAAGAGCCTCCTGGCTTTCCTTTGACCTTGGTTGTAGACCACGTGTCCAGGTAGAAAGGCAGCAGTCCCCCACGACCCCTGTCCTGGTTTCTCGTGCCGCTGTATGTAGAGTCCAGCCTCAGCAGGCTACACTAGGAGACCTCTCCTTGCTCTTGTACCTGGGAAGGCTTGCAGGGGACCAGCTCAGCCCTCACCACCTCGGGCTAAGGAAAGAATCCCTGTATTTTCCTTGGTGTGATTTTCTTAGTTTGTCTTTCCTAAACTAGCAAGATCTTGAAAGGCAGGATTAGAGTGTGGGCTTAGGAGAAAGTGTCCAGGAAGATGACGTGGTTGTCTTTCATCCAAACTTTTGAAGGCATCTGGCTCACATGCAGCCTGGCCCAGTTCAACAGGAGAGCACCAGGGTTCAGAGCCGAAACATTAGTTAAGAATGTTCTGGACGCCTGGCTTCCCACGGAGCCCATGGGAAGGGTGGGCTGCCAGAGGAGGACTGGGGACTCAGCCTGGTCGCAGGCTTCCCTCCCACCCGAGCCAACAATGATATTATCTGGGAACTTCCCCGAAGAAGGACCGCATCTGCTGAAGTCTCAGTTTGCCTTGTGGAGGCCACTTACACACATTTGTCTCCATGCAGCCAGTCCATCCTTTGGTGCTTTTTCTCTTTCAGGAGGAAATGGGCATTTCCTGTGAACTGCTCGAATCAGACTTCCTCAAATGCAGCGTGGGATTTCCTTTCATGAGGTCAAAATCGAAGGTAAGGGGCAGAGACGGGACACTTGCTTTGCAGCAGGCCCCCAACCCTTCCCACCAGCCACCTGCCCTGTCAGCTGTACCCTGCCCCCCAGCCTTCCTCTATCCCCCCCAACCCCACCCCCACCCCTGCCTTGCACAATGGCACTGTCTAGCTCCCAAGGGGGGCTGCGATCTACTACTCCACAGGGGCCCTCCCCACATGCTGTTCCTCTTTGATCCACATGACATACCCAAAAGTGAGAGACGCACCATGGCCTTGGTACTTTGGCAAGCACCATCTGGTTGGCCTCCTTAAAAATCTTTCTCTGGGACATTCCATGCCACTGTGAGTACGACTATATAGGAGAAATGTGGTCTGGGCTAGTGACCTACAGTTCTGACTATCACTCCCCTGGGCACTCACAATTTTCTGAAGAGACCTCTTAAAATTCTTAAAACATAAATAATGGTACGGCAATTCATTTTTTTTTAAAGTAAAAGAAATTAGACTCACTTTGGTATTTATACGGAGCCAAATTTTCTAAGCTGAAACAATAATACGGTCCAGTGTATTCAAACGTTCATGGAACATTCTGGTATGTGCCAGTATTATAAGGATATGCAAAGATACATAGAAGATGTGATTGTTGGAAGCAAAACTAGAATCTAAAAGATCAGGTCTGCCTTTTGAAATGGAAGCTATTTTTCCTGCTATGATTTGAAGGAAATTTCATATTCCTTTGTCTAACTTTTTTCCCCCTTAAAAAAAAAATAATGAAAGTTTAATCCTCCTCTCCTGCCTATGTCACAGAATCAACTTGTTTTAATCTCCAAGGCATTTTGGTCCCAGTACCTCGTGGCTGTTTTGCAAGCCAGTTGTGAGAATGTTCAAGTGAGAAAGAAGATTTGCTGATTTCCTAGCAAATCACTTGAACCCCTCAGCCCCATTGAAGGTGCCTGCTCCAAATGACAATGGCTCTTACATCCGTGATTCCTAACCCTTTTAGGAACCTTTCGATGTCCTTGAACCCTGGACATTATTGCCCTTAGAAACATACGTGGCACCTCCACACACACATTTCATTGAAATCTTTTCAGCAACAGAAAATAGACTTAATTGAAAAACATTAATAGTTGCCATTTCATGGGTAAAATAAAGCCGACATCCCAAATCAAACCTAAGGTGTGTCTTCTAGTTTTAGTTTAAAGGTTATTTTAAAAGGAAAATTTTATCACTCTCACATACGGATCCAGGATCACTTACAATAAAGTGAGGGTAGTCATAAGAATGAATACAGTGAAAACAAAGCCACGTTGAATTCTGGAGCATTAAATTTTGTCAAAAGTCATTAACTCTCAAAATAGTCATGGAACCAACGGAAGTAGGAACGTTGGAAAGTTGGATTTTTTCCCAGCTCGGTAATGCCGCTGCCTTCCTCCCACATACAGAGGTTTAGACCAGAGCAACACTAAAGCTGGAGGCAGGAGGTCTAGGGTTGAGTCCTTAGAAAGAGCCCAAGGAGTGACCCAGCAGGGCCGGGGACCACCCGTGTCCACGCCCAGCTTGCCCTGCCCTGTGCCTCGGCCCCTGTGGCTCATCAGGCTGCAGCCGGCCTGCTAAGCCTCATGACTGCATCGTCAGCTTACTCTGGTGGCCATCTGTTTCTGTCTCTCACGACCAGCCTGCCCAGTCTCTGACCTTCCGTTCTCCCAGGCCCCCCTCTCCGATTTTGGCTTCTCACCTCACCTGGATCTTTAGAGTATTTGATTCAGATCTCCTGCCAGTTCTGACTCTTGTCCCCTTGACTTTTCCTTCCTTTGTGTCCTCCAGCTCTGCTTCCTGTCCTGTCTCTATGTCCCCACCCTCCCTGGCGACTGACAAGCCCCGCAGCAACAGAAATTTCTGTCTCAAGAGCGATGTCCGGTGTCCGCTCTATTTGATGGGTCAGCGTTCATTACTTTCAGGCCACATTTAGTGCAGTTGAATCCAGTGTTGCAAAGGTAGACCAGTGCCTAGCATTAGTCACTAAGGAACCCAAATACTTAGATATTAAATAATCACAGACTCTCAGAGCTTGATGGAACTTAAGAAGCATTGTGTCCATCCTCTAATTTTTATTGAAAGGCAAATAGTGTGAGTGTCTTAGCCAAGATCACATACTCAGTTTGTGGTCAAGCCTGGCCCTGTAACCCCTACCAGGGGGTCCCTCCCACATTCCCATACATGCCCAGTGTGTACATGGTGAAAAACATTTGCTCAGAGCAGTCTTCCCCAAGTTATAGGATGCTCACCACGGGGAATGCCTGAGATGATTGTAGGCCGCTCCTTAAATTATTTTAGGCCAAACATGGACACTGCACTAAACAACATTGACTCTAACAGTGAGACAGTTATTACCTATTCAACACTCTTTCTCCCGGATCACATGCAGGAGAAAGTCTCCCATAGCGCCATCCTGTCTTCAACACCTCCCTAGCTCTTGCTAATCTCCCTCTTATCAAAATAGAGTAGACCTTAGGCTCAGAGCCCTCAGCAGGCCACAGAATGCAATGGGGCTTTGTTTTCATTTATTTTTATGACAACCTTCTCTTACTGATAAGTGATCCTGATTCCCATCTGTGCTCATGATAGAAATTTTCCTGCTAAAGTAGTACAACCACTCTGGAAAACAGTATGGAGTTTCCTCAAAAAGTTGAAAATAGAGCTACCCTATGACCCAGCAATTGCACTACTCGGTATTTACCCCAAAGATACAAATGTAGTGATCCGAAGGGGCACCTGCACCCCAATGTTTATAGCAGCAATGTCCACAACAGCCAAACTATGGAAAGAGCCCAGATGTCCATCGACAGATAAATGGATAAAGAAGTTGTGGTATATATACACAATGGGATATTACTCAGACATCAAAAAAATGAAATCTTACCATTTGCAATGACGTGGATGAAACTACAGGATATTATGTTAAGTGAGAGTGTCAGTCAGAGAAAGACATATGATCTCACTCATATGTGGAATTTAAGAAATGAAACAGAGATCATAGGGAAAGAGAGGGAAAAATAAAATAAGATGAAATCAGAGAGGGAGACAAACCACAAGGGAGTCTTAACTCTAGGAAACAAACTGAGGGTTGCTGGTGGGGGAATGGGGTAATTGGGTGATGGGCATTAAGGAGGGCACGCGTGGTGTAATGAGCACTGGGTGTTGTAAGTAACTGATGAAATCACAGAACTCTACCTCTGAAACTAATAATACACTATATGTTAGCTAATTGAATTTAAATAAAATAAAATTTAAAAAAAAGTAGTCTTCAAACAAAAAGAGTGGCAATGAAAGTAACAGTAAATGACATAGGTGATATGGTACGCAGGTGTGGCAGACATTAGGAAGATGGTGTGGGGGCGACACTTAGAAAGGCCTGGTTTAAGAGACAAACATATCACTTCCTAGAGACCCTCAGTTGCTGAAAAATAGCGTGCCTCTCAACAGAGCACGCTCCAGGCTTGGTTTTATTGCTAAAGCTGTATCTCTGGCCTGGCAACCAGAAAGATACGCATAAAAAAATAAAACTTGTCTTGCAAATGAGCTTCCAGAGGTCATAAACTGCAGAAGACGGTGGTGTTTCTAAGTGTGGAATGCTTGCTGAGGCCAGATGTCACTTTCTTTTCCCCTAGTACGAATTCAGCGTGATCTTTGACACAAGCCACCTGTCTGGGGAAGAGGAAGTCCTTAGCTTCATCATTACTGCTCAGAGGTAAGGGGGAGCTTTACTTTTTTTTTTTTTTTTTTTGATTTATGGGAACAGGAAAGGACGTTCCCTGGTCACGCTTTGATGATGCTCCAGATGCTGAGGAGGAAGAAACAATTGAGCGACAGAGCCCCAGAGCACTGGCTGGGATGGGAGCTCTCAGGGCTGGTGTCTGTCCAGTTGTGTTTATGCAGCTAGCCAGGTTGGACTGAGCTGGGAGGGACTGGGGACCATCCCGGTCGGAGGTAATGATTTTTACAGCCAAGGAGAGACAGACCAGGGGAGGTGAGGATTCTGATTCAAGCTCACGTGGTTGGTTAGTTCACAAAGTTCCTCTGTGGGTTGCATTCCTTGATGCAGGGAGAGGGCACAGCAGCCTGAGGGCCGGGCCAAGGCTGTTGTCAGAGGCCCCAAGACATGCTCCTCAAGAGAGGGCTTGTCCTGGACGCTTTGTGGGTGGAGGGAGAGTTAGGGCAGGGGACCGTGCAGGGTGACTTCTACCCTCAGGAGCATACTCCTGCCCCTCTGTCTCCAGTGTGGCCTCAAGCCACGGGAGGGCCTTAGGGGTTGTCAGCTGCCTCCACCAGCCAGAATCCACGTGCGCCTTGAAGCGCCATTTGGGTAGCGCTTGGCTGACAGCAGGATGGAAGGAGAGGAAGTTAGGTTGGTGAATAGGAAGAAGCAAACTTTGATTGGGGTGTAGGTTGGATACCCAAGGCTACTTTTGTAATTTGAATTTTTATTTGGAGACGATTTTGAACTCACCAGAAATGTTGCAAAGCATAATTCAAGGAAGTCTCATGCAGCCATTACCCAGCCTCACCCGATGCTGACACTCTCCTCCATTTACTTTATCATTCTCAATGTATAGTTTTTTTTTCTTAACCATCTGAAAGTAAGTTGCAGAAATCATGTGTCCTTCCTATAAGGACCCCAGTGTGCATTTCCTAAGAGTGAGGCCATTTTCTTCAACAACCAGCACAGCAGATGTCGGAAATGTAACACTGACACAATGCTTTTATCTCCTCTATAGTCCATGTTCCAGTAGTTCTAGTCTTCTCAGTGACCTTTCAGCCCCTTTTTCACGGGTCCAGAGTCCAGTCAAGGGTCATGCATTGCATTCAGTTATTGTGTCTTATCTATCATTACCTTAACCTCCAAAGGAAATTTCATGCCAAGAATCCTAAGTCCATCCCAGAGGTGGTCTGGAGATCAGAACCAAACACCCTGAAGGCCAAGGTCAGGCAGGATCCACTGAAAATGATGAGAAAACAAAATGAGGAACTGCATGGCTAATAATAGAGCCCAGGAAACTGGAAGGCCAGACACTGGGTGAGCAGGCAGTGGAACCAGGAGCTGAAAGTCAACCAGGGAAGGATGTTCAGTGGAGTCACAAGGTTAGCACAGGGTTCAGACCTAAAGACCCTCAGGATCTGGGGTACAGAGTGAAGCAACGGGCTCAGCTTTATGGAACTAAAGCCCCACCACCACCACCAGCATGGTCACCCTTGAAATGAGGGTGCTCAACCCAAGCCTTCCTTTGAGGAGGACAATGCCCTCAGGAGCTGAGAAGGAGCTCCTCGTCCCACATTCTGAATTATAAAGAATGCCATTTCCCAGACTCTTCAGATGAGCCAGGTTGGGGCCAGCCTGTTGGGGTGATGTGCTGTACAGAATAGCAGGGGCACTGGCTCAGCTGTCTCTGGCCCCCAGAGAGAGCAAGGAGTCACGCTTTGGACCACTCTGCCCACTCCCTTGCACGATCATCAAGTGATTGCCACGGGGAAAGGACCAGGCCAGGGCTGAGAGGGATCATGGATGAGTGAGAGCGAGTCTTGCATCCCAAACCATCTCAAGAAGGCTTCAGTCTAGAGATGGAGGCAGACACACTGCTTCCTACAGGGGAGGAAAGAAGACCTAGCCCAGGGCAGGCATGCTTTGCTCATTCAATCTGCAAATGTTTGAGCCCTTCCCACAAGCCAGGCACTGTGTAAGATGTTGGCAAAGTCCCTACTCTTGGGGAGCGAGTGTGCTGGGGGCAGGGGGATAGATAATGAGCAAGTGAATATATAACGTCAGCGGGAGCCAGGAGTGTGCCCATTCATCCGGCAAGCGTGACACATTCTCTGGCAATCACAAAGCATCTTTTTTGTGTCCTGTACTCTCTTTAAGCCCACTTGGTGGGATTAATCTTTTCCTTGTCTTGGGGGGAGGGGGATGGTCTAGGACAGTCCTGTGCATTCTCAGGTCTCTCTTGGGTAATGCAGAGCTCTGCCATCACTTCAAGTGTCACAACAGATTCACAAAACTATAATTAAGGTGTCCCCTGCAATCATCAAAACTTGGTTTAAAGCGAAGGCTTTCTCCCTTTGGTGAGGGCGAGCTGCAGAAGGGAAGCCTGCCTCTCTCTCAGGAACAATCTTGCTTTCCTGCAGTGGTTCTGCTGCTGTGTCCTGACACCCCACCCCTCAGTTCCCCTGGGAGAGCTCCTGAGTGCCCCCCGCCCCCACCAGGCTCACAGCAGGTCCTGTGGGAAGTGTGAGTCAAATAGAAAAGTGCTCACTCCCCTTAACCGGTAGGAGCACTCCCAGGGCCGCATGGGTATTCCAAGCTGACTCTTACCTTTGGATAGCCAGCCCCCAGCTGGGGGTTCTCGCCTGCGAGGCCCTCATCCTGTCCTCCAACCTCAGCCTCTTGCAGCCAGACACCCACCCCTTCAACTTCTGCTGCTGAGACCGTGCCCTCAGGGACAGGACCAAAGGTGACCTCACACCAGCTTTCGGCTTTCGCATATAGGCGCCACTCAGTAGCCTCTGCCCTGGCGGTCTCTGGAAATGCCGGGATTCTTGCATGTCCCCTTCTCTTTCGCTGGGCCAGGAGAAGGAAAGCCAGCAGTCCTCCCCTCCATTCCCTGGGCAGCACCCCCCACCCCACCGTGCTGATCAAGGTGCCCTGAAGTGTACTTTAAAGGGCGGACACCCTCCCCCCGCACCCCCCCCAACACTTCTCTCTCTAAAAGCTGTTTCTCAGAAATCCTCCTTTCTCAGCTCTGTTACATCCTTGATATGACATCTCGGGTTTTTGCCCTGAGCCGTAGTAAACCCTGATCTGGTGCTTTCCTCTGAATCTGGCATCCCTTATACCTCAGCCAAAACGTGCATCTGAACGAACATACTGTCGTACTCACCCTCTGAGTGATTCCTGAATTTTCACAAAAACACCAATTCCCCAGAGTCTTGGACTGAGATTCTTCCCAAGCCCTGCATCTTTCAGTTCTCTGTGGTCTGTTCTGGCTCCTCACTAATGGCTTTGCCCTCAGGTACCCCCTCTGGGCATCTGGGAAGCTCAGGTCGGTCCCCAACAAGTACAGCACGACAGTGGCCTGCAGCCACGTCTGTGGGATGCAGACACAAAGAAACTCTGATTTCATCTCCCACTGCTCTTTAATTTTGTTTTCATTTGAGGCCTTCCTCAGGCTCGAGGTTATTTAAAGCTCACAGAATTAAGATTCCCTTTCCCTTGGGGATGACTGATGCTGGAAGCATACATTATCAGAGCTCCTTCAATCCACAGCCACAACCGCATATTTTGGCTTCAGTGTTGCTTTCTGTATTTTGCTTTTTTTTTTTTTTTAGCATTATCACAAATATTTTAGAGAATGTTCTCTCTCCTAAAAATAAGAGCACAGTACATCACAGTGTGTGTTTGGCCTTCTTTACCCTGTGTTATTGCATCCAGCTTCCACTCCAGAGCTGATGGCTTTCTGGCTTTTAGTTCAGCACTGGTTGAACTTACAGAACACACACTAAGCATATGTAAAAAGTTGGCGTGAATACCAACAGCCGTGATTGTTCAAATACAGCCCAGCAAGCTCAGAAATCCTGCACAGCTTTCGAGCGTGGCAAGGGTGGCCTGCCGTGGGGTGCTAGCATTTCAACACAGATCACATTTGGCTGGGCTTGCAAGCTTGGAAATCGTGTGAGACTTGGTTATTTCTTATTCATCCTGTTTCAAGATCCCATAATTCGCGTTCACATAAAACATGACTGTGATCGGGGCGCCTGGGTGGCTCAGTTGGTTAAGCGACTGCTTTCAGCTCAGGTCATGATCCTGGAGTCCCTGGATCGAGTCCCGCATCGGGCTCTCTGCTCGGCAGCGAGCCTGCTTCTCCCTCTGGCCCTCCCCCCTCTCATGTGCTCTCTCTCTCTCATTCTCTCTGTCTCAAATAAATAAATAAAATCTTAAAAAAAAACATGACTGTGATCTAATAGAAATACATAGAAAGCGTAGAGAAGGTGGACTTCATTCCCATTGCCAGAATCCAGAAGGGCCTCCTTGGGGAGATAGCATTTAAACAGAGGAGTCTGTTTTCAGGCTGAAGACACAGAGGCACAGTGCTGAGAAGGTACACAGGTCAGCCTGCTCTGTGACAACCAGGTGGGTGGTGGGCACTGTGGGGAACTGGGGATTCGTGAGCCATCTCTTGGGGGGGTGGGCATACAGGGCAGCAGAAGATGGGCTGACAGAGGAGATTGGGCTGGGCCATGGAAGGCCCATGTAGCCTCAGAGTCTGCACTACATTCCAGAGGCAGAAAGTTTGTGAAGAGGGAAGTGATGCATGTAACAGTTTGCCCACAGAGCATGAGCTTTTTGAATTTCATAAAGGGAGGCAAATGGCCAATCAAACCTGGAAGTTCCTTAATTCTCCTGCTGTTTCTTGGACCCACAGAAAACTCACTGTGGTTGGGCAGATCCATTAGTGTGCTCTCTTGGGTCCTCCCCACCTGTGGCCGCCGATATTCCTGGGAAGGAACGCTGGGGCAGGAAATAAGTGATAGGGAAAGAGGAAACTCCACCTGCTTCCCAACCCCGCCCAAGGCTAATCAGTGGTGTCAAGAGAAGGGGGAGCCAACACCACCAGGGTGAAAGCGCTATCTGTTAGAGTCACACGGCCGTAGACACCGGCGGCGCCCATGGGAGTCACCTGGGGGGCTTTAAAAACCACCGATCCCTGGTCCACCCTGCAGAGGTTCAGATCGATTGGTCTGGGGTGAAATCTGGGCATTGGGATTGTGGAATAGTTGCATCAGGTGATTCTAATAAGCAGCCAAGGCAGAGAGACACCATCTGCACTCCCTGGCTCTATACGGGGCGCGTTTCCACTCAGCAAACTTCTGTTGAGCACGTACTATTTATCAGATGCAACGCTGGGCACATAAGAAAATGCTAATCACTTACTAAAATCAAGAACATCCCCTTATGTGCACGAAGAGTGCTATGTCGCATCAGGGGACGCCTAGTATTGGCAGCTTAAATAATTAGCAGAATGTTCTAACATTGGAATCACGGACAGTAAGGAAGCTGTATTATATGTTAAACATGCCACAGAATATCTCAGGCACTCATTTCTTCCCAAATGTTGGTGAAAACCGGTCTTACCGCCCCAGAGGGCGGCCCCCAGCACTTGACTCCCTGCTCTGGCACAAAGATCCTTAAAGCTCCTTATCTTGAAAGCCACAGTTAAAGTATCAATCGTTCGTCCTCCCCGTCACCACCCTTTGAAGCTCTCCTGCCTACTGGTGGATTTAGGAGGACGTAAAGCTGAGCCTGAACAGTCCTCCAGAGCTCTCTCAGCAGCCTGGCTTTGCAGACCATGGGAACGCATCCCAAGTCACGAGCTTGCAGAGTGGCTGGAAGCCTTTTGATGTTTGGCCTCTGTATCTCAACTCTTCAGCTTCAGTCGGTCTGGAGCAGTCCCCTGATGACAGATGAGATTGTTGGGCCTGAGCTGCCAGCAGCCACAGGTGGCTGGACAAATGGCAGGGCAAGGGGTGGTGCCTCCATCAGGAACCAATTACTCAGACCCGGCGGGGTGGGGGGAGGGAGCGGGCCAGGGCGTTACCGGGCCCATCCATTCCATAGTCACCTCTGATCTGCCTCTAGCAGCGATGCTCAGGCTTTTATTGCCTCCCTGGGGAAGGAAGGGCAAGGGAATCAGGCCAGGTGGGCACCTGACCCTGCTGCTTCTGCAGACTGCCCTCTGAGTGATGGATGTCCCGGCATATGCGGAAGACAGATGAGGAGTCAGGGGTCAGAGTCACAGAGCACCATTGTTTCAGAACAATAGGAGAAAGAAGGATAGGGGATGTGAGCTGCTCTTTAAGTATTGTTGCATTTAGCAATTGCCGGTGGGAGAGGAAGACAGTGGGGGCAGTGGGAGGGCAGGGAGCAGGCAGGAACTCTGCAGGGGGTCAGGGAGTGGGCCAGGGAGCTGTACCCAAACCTCAGTGGCTCTTGGGGCCACTACATTCCACCCCTGGAGGATGAACTTGGTTCCAACTGGGATGCCACATACATGCCATGTGGTAGAACCAACTAGAAGTGCTGGCTCCCGCAGCTTGCACCCTACGGCCCTGTCTTTTCCCAAGGCAGTAGTTCCACGGAATAATAATCACAGTCTTCTTGGAAATGTATCAAAATAGTAAAAGGAAGCTAGGTCTTCTCTCTCCTCCTCTTCCTCTTCCCTTTATTCCTCTTTTTCCTCTCCCCTCCCCTCCCCGCGCCCCCCCCCCCAACAACCTCCCAAATCTGGTATCAGATTTGGAGAAGGAATCACAAGGACAAAGCCCTAGTTTGGGAGTCTGACTGACCTGGTTTGTTATGGATCCTTGGGCAAGTTCCCTGATCTATGTGAGCTGCTCCTTACCTGTCAGAGGCAGGCAATCCCCCACCGTTCTAGGGTTCCTCTGAGGACCCGGTGAGACCATGCTGTGTGGTATTCCTGGCACAAGGCAGCCACCCAACAGCAGCAGCTTCCTTGCACTCCCCTTTCGAGAAAGACCCCAACAGTCCCCATTCTCCGCTTTCTCACTCCAAAGGGGATGCCTGTCTCTGGACGTACTGCAGCCAGAAGTCTATAGGGGAGCTCCCTTGGTCTTTATGATGACGGGGTTGGTCAGGGCCTCTCTCCCAGGCTTGGCTGGCTGTCCGTGGAGGGCGGGTGGTGCCTCCAAGTGGGAAATGGCAGCTCAAGTCCAGCAAACCCCTTCCCAGCTGCGGGGCCCTAACCTTGCCGTCCATTCTTCATGAAACAAGCACTTCTAGAAGTGGCACGTGCTGTTGGTGCCCAGCCATAACCATTCAGCACTCATCTTTCCCCTGCACCCCCCAGACAGCTTCCCAGCTCCCAGCACCTGCCACTCTGCTGAGGCTTTATCTTGGGTGCATAGTATGAGTGCCAGCAAATTCATGCTCCCTGCCCCCCAGCGGCAGATCTCAGCAGTCGTGGATAAAGTCCTGCCTCCCATGGGAAGACCGAGAGGTGTGCTCCACGCTGCCTCCCAGATGTCTCCAGCGAGTCCAAACTCAGTTGCCCAGAGCACTGACCTCCTGGATTACATGCCCTTTTTGCCTTCATCCCTTCCCTGTCTCTTCTCCACTCCCTGCTGGTGTCTCCTGGGGTCGCCTCCCCGGCCCACTGCTTGTACTCCTGTCTTCGGGAGGGGATCACAACTGAGACAACAGAGTGCCCACCGTGCCCCTGCACAGGCACCAGAAACAGAACCGAGGGTGCATCAGGTGCACGGCCGGCCCTTGGAGAGTGACAGGTTGAGGTCTAACACGGAACAATGAAGCCTGCTGCGGGGTAGCCAGCACTGACCAGCACTCACCCCTCTCTTCCCGTGCAGTGGCAACGTGGAACGCTCTGAGTCCCTGCATGACAACAGCCTCATGCTGACCGTGCCGCTGATGCATGAAGTGGACTCATCCATCACTGCGTGAGTAGCCGGTCCTGGGTCGCCAAATCTCAGAGGCGCCCCAGGGTGGAGTGCCGTGTTTTTCTTGTATTTGCACGTGTAGCCAGGAGTTTCTGGCCTCCCAGTTCCCCTTCTTCCCAGCTTTGAAAACACAGGGCAAAGCTTTAGCTACCAGCTCATGCCCTCCTCCCGCCTTGTTTTCTCCCCTTTCCCAGCTACCCACCCACCTGCTGGGTGGCACAAGAAGTTTGATGACAAGGCTAAGCCCCAGAATGTCTTTGAGCATTCTGTACACCTTTATGTGCCTATATGCCCAGCACCCACCCCTCCAGAGGGCCATGATTCCTGGGATTCAAATCTCAGCCAAATGCTGCCGGGCCAGAAGTTACAGCCAGATGTCTCCCAAGGCCCTGGTGGCCTTGCAGAAAAGCTCGCCTTTCTGATTAGCTACACTGCCAGGGCTGGCCTTGCATGTTTCTGTTAACCCCTTCTGCAGAGCCAGCGGCAGCTCTGCCTGATGTCGGAGGTGGGCAGGGAAGGAGGACGACGGGGCACAGCATGTGCTGGGTCAAGTCCACGGCTGCTCAGTGCCGCTGGCCTAGGAAGGCAGGGCTGCAGGCTGCAGGGGCCCGACACAGCTTGGGCGATTTTCAGCCAAAGCCCAGGCCTGGGAAAATGAGAACTCAGTTCCTGTTTCTGACTTCAAAAAACAGAGCACATACCTCTTTGATAGTGGAAAAAGGATTCGCACAATTAGTTTAGATCAAATGAGGACCCATTGAACCCCTGCCCCAAACGCGAGCTGAACTTTCTGGGGGTTCACAGTTTCTCATTTTTCACTCTTCGAGTTCTTCTGGGTCCCAGCCTTGGCTAGAAGCAGCAAGGTTAATACGTTGCAGAAGGAGTCATTCTGCAGTAGCTCACACGCAGCTGGGTGCCGGAATGAGCCTCTGAATGTTTCCTGCACTCTGGGCCTTTTTCCTCACGTTCTCCAGACAGGAGGCATCAGTGGAATATATTTGCAAATTAGCATAGATTGCCTCTGTTCATGGCTCTATTTTTAACTATGTGGTTTATTTACTTGTCTCATCAGAGGTATGGTGAGAATGCAGACTGAACCAAACCCTGTCCCTGGCCGGGGGGGG